ACTCTTTCACTCTCTCCAGAGATGAAGCATGATTCACTGGAGAAAACAATGACCCTTAACACTTAAAGCACCATCTAAAAACAAGTAGCTTCATTCTATGCTAACATAATAATTAAGGGACATGCAAGTTTGGTGAGAGCTGCTGAAAAAGCAAGATCCCATAGGGAGGACTTTGGCAGCTCTGGGAACACCCATAGGGAAATGCACTATGAGCATACAATACTTAATGACCGTATTTTATGCAGGTTCATCTTTCAACCACATCTGCATTTCTCCTTTATATTTAAAACATATCACCACAAACAAATTAATATTGCCAGCATTGATTATAATAAAGAATCATAACAAAAAAAAGAGTGTATTTTAGCAGTTTTTATTATAGTCTTGGCTAATGGCAGTACATAGAATATAACAGATTTTTGTATCGAGAGCAAGTAATTTTTGCTACCAACTATAAAGCTCTGCAGATTCAGAAGTATTTTGACTCCTAAAATAAAAACCGTAACACTGCTGTAACAGAAAAAGAACTGTAGCCAGTTCAGCAAGCCACCAAACATCATCTACCTTTTATCTCCAAATCTTTCTTGTACCCAAGTCTGTCTTCTATGAGTAGTTGAGTTTGTCTGAAACAGAATCTGAGAAAGGTACTTTTCATGTCTCACCATGAAACCACTAATTGCAAGACCATCACAAGAAAAGTGAAGAGGAAAAGACTTGGGAAGAAGAAGCAATTAGCTGTCTTAAGTATTTCAGCTAAAATGGCAAGTGCCATAAACTTGCTTTTTCCTATTAAAAAAAAAAAAACCAAAACCAAAACAAGCCACATACAAAAATATTTCTCCTGCTAGAATTTGTAGATCAAAAATTATTTGCCTAAGAATCAAACAGAATACTTATATCATGTATCTATTAAAATATTTGATCAGGATAAATCAAAGAATAAGACATTGCCTAAAATAATTCCACAGGTAGTGACCTAACAGCACTAAATGCATGGACAATCTGCTTTTGTTCCCATGTTAGAAATACAGAAAAAAACTATCAAACCAACATACACAGAGAGAGTTACGTGCACAACCAGTCCCCCTTTGCATACATTTTAGATTTCACAGTTATTTTTCAAGTACAGGTTCATAGTACTATTGCAGCTTACCATACCCTACCAAGCTTAAAGGTGAAAACATGAATGTCCCAGAGTTGCTCTCCTTGGCAAAGCGGACAGCATCTGAAGCATGCTGTGTTCAAAACATTTAACAGAGATACCAGACAAATAGCTTAAAAGTGGACAACTGCTGCATTATCAGAAAAAAAAAACAGATTTATGGCAACTGAAGGACAGACTTCACAAAGTATTCGATGACTTAAGTTTATAGTAAGTTCTTTTGGTAAATTTATGACAACCAATTCACAAAAATATATCAAAAGATTTAGAAATAAATAAGGTGTTGTGGAGTGTTTTCTAACAATACTGCCACATTACTTTGTTTCTACACATTCTTTCGAAAAAGCAAGACAAGAACTTAGAAGGGCATGCTTTTCCATCTAAGTTTTATGTGTAAATATTTGACAAAATGGGACTTAACACTTCTGTGCATCTCAACATACAAAAAGGTTCTCATTTTCACTTTTGTCAAGGTTAGGGAAGGTCAAATGAGTTCTGTAAAACTTTGACAGCAATTGCTTTTGAAAAGAGAACTGTAGCTCCCTAGCAAAGGCTATGATGCAGGATTTTACTTCACATTTTTAGAAAGATTCAAATACAAAACAATTCATCAACAGTAGTTTCAGGCAGGTAAAACTTTCAGTTGCTTAGCAGGTTTGTATTTAATCTAGCCACTTAAGTACCACTGGAATTATACATTAGCTGTATAAATCCTATTAATATTTTCAAAGAAACATTAAAAAAAATTGTAAGAGTCACAGCTGCACCTGAGCTCAAAGAAGAGAGAAGAGTTACAATTCTATCTATTTATTAGCTGTTCCGCTAACAACATTTTGTAACAGATCAGATTCGGAAATCTGATTGCTGGCTTTAGCAGAAGTAGTAGAAAAACCAACCACTGTGTATTACTGCTTACTCTACCAGCTACCACCTATGTAGCTGTATACTATAGCTGTTATTACGTACTGCAAATACAATACCAGACATGATATGTAGTAGAAGTCCAGCCAAACTAAAAGACAATCTCCTTTACTATCAGTGTTAAGGAAAGTCACCTTGGCCTAAAAAAAACCAAAAGTGTAACTTATCAGAGTCACTTCTGAAGTAATACTGCTAACTCCATCTTGGAGCAAGACCTTAAAATACAATTTGCATTGATGCTGTCAGGCACAGATCACTTCAAAAAAAAAAAAAAAGATAAGTGTGCTAGTATGTATTTTATACTACAATTAACAGTTTTCAATGCCCTAAAAATCATATGAAAATATCATTAGGAATTATAGAATTTCTTATGCATTTGGATATAGGAAACACCCGTGCATAGAAAACTACTCTTTGGGGTTAATTTAACAGTATCAGCATTATTAAAGTTTGTTTATCTACAGTAGTGCCAGAAAATAGCAGGACTGATTTGTGCTAACCTACAAGAAACTCTTAAAAATTATCTGCAATAGAGTAAGACATTTTAGGCAAACAATAAAGAGTACATGTCCCTCAAGGTTAAATCTGAAGGAAATAACACCTGTCACATAAAATACAGTGTGTCTCTTAAAGAGGCATTTCCTCTTATTTCTTTTGTTGAGACACAAGGCATGCTTGAATTTTAATTTGATACTTGCAGAGATCAAGGACATCATCTGCACTGAGCAGAGACAGAAAAAGGGCTGATGGTCTCACAGACACACACCTGTAAACACTGCAAAAAATATAAAATTAAGCTTGCAAGGGTCCCTAGTGAGGTGACTTACATGCCACTGAGCAAGGTATCACTGAGAGCTGTTTATTTCTAAATGTAATACAAAATTAAAAGCAGGGAGCTAATAAGCCATATTAAAAAAAATAATTATCTAACACCCTATCAGGCTAGAAAAGTTTCAATGTCTATTTTGTATCCATAATACAATGGGAAGTTGAAAATAAGCTCAATATAAGAATTACTAAACAAAACCAAAGTCAAGTGTGTATAATATATAAAATACTGACTGCCTACATGTTATGAAATACATATCACAAGAGTTACCACAATGCATTTCCACATTATACTCTAAAGCAAACTCCAAGTCACATGTTGAACGAAAGGCATCCTTTCTGGTACACCATCACTGCAATTGAACTCCAGAAGGTCTCCTTTAAGTCAGGGTATAAAGTAATCTAAAAACAAGACAGAAAAATACAATTTAAGATCAGCTATCTTCTTACAGTTAGAAACCTGAAAAAACTGCAACCATTTTAAAAGTCACAATGAAACAATGACTTCATAATGAGTTTGAGAATCACCTGCTTACACAATTTCAAAGACTCTTTCCGTGATTGTTGCCAGCATATATTGCACTGACTTTCTGGAAAAATTGAATATATATAGATATATATACACACATACACACACACACACAGAGCCACACTAATGCTTAGTTTGGCTCCAAGCCATTTCACTTCACAAACAGTAGTTAAACCTTAGAAATTAAAAATAAAATTGAAACCTATGCAAACCCATCTTGTAAACATTTTTCCAAAATTTCTTAATACCAACCACAATAATGAGTAATTAAAAGAAAAACCCTTTAAGTGGCTATTTGAACATCTTACCAAAGACTTTATACATGGTGCCCATGAACTGCACTGCTGTCTCCTTCTCCACTTTGCATCTGCATCTGCATCTGTGCCTGCATTCTCGCAATCATCTCCTGCATGCGACGAAGCTGGAAAAGTAGCACAAAAGAATCCTTTAGCCTAATCTCACCTCAGAATGTGACTCTCTGCTGCCACTACACAATTATTTATATTATAGAGGGAACACATATCTGCATTATCTTTATCTGATGGGTAACAATCTCAGGTTATGGCATCTTCTGCTCTTCTTCATCCATTAAGAGGCTGGAAATTTACTGACTGAAATAAGCAGGCTTTATTATTGTAATTTGGGATGAGATTTTAAGCATCCCTGAATGGAAGTCTTTGCTTCCTCTGAAGTTAAATGCATAAAAATGATGGTGCTGAAGTGCTGAACAAACATTTACAGTTGCTAAAGATTATCACCAGAAAATAAGCAACTTGTTTATGTCCCTCCAAAGTACACCACTATCTGTCACTAAAAAAAATTGTCAGGATTACTTCCCAACTCCCTTGCTGGTGACGTCTAGGTGGAAGTAGGTATTACAGGCAAATCATCCAAGGGCATATAAGCATTATTAAAAATGGCTGAAGCTAATTTTAGAACATTGCAACATTTAAACACAGGGTAATCACGTAACTCAGCTACTAAGATTAATTCAGCCATGTTGCATGTACAATACTTCAAATTCTTTTATTGTACCCAAATCTGACAGGTGGGAAGTCAACCTCACTACTGAAATACATTTGAGTGCCTTTGCCTCTATGCACCTCCACTTCAAACTCAAACTAAACTGTTAAGCTTAACAATGAAAAGCTAAACCTGTGAAATGTTTACACTACTCTTTTTCATATTCCTTGAAACAATGACACTTTTCATTTTTACTCTCATTATCTTTTGGGACTTGGGTAGCCACTAAGACCACTAGTAGAAGACTGAGCGTCTGCTGGTGCTAGAGCAGTCCAAAAAGTCCACCTAACTCAGCCTTCTCACCAACACTGGCTATTAGCAAATGCATCTAAGACCCTAACAGCGGGGTGCACACACCCAGTATTTCCTGACATATGCTTTCAAACTCTAGAAATCTGTCAGTTCTGAACTTGCTAAACCAAAAAAATTCTACCTTTGTGTTTAGTGAGCACATTCATGGAGACAGTAGAACTCTCCAGTCTCTTAGCATTTTTGAGCTTATCTGCATACTTGCTATGCACAAAATTCCATGCTAATGAGTTCCACAATTTACAGACTGTCTTAAAAGTATCTTTTCTATTTGAAATCAGCCACCTATTAATCTCATTAAATGTGACCTGTTTCTTGTATAGTAGATTCCCATTCATCCTGCCATCTATGATTATGTAAGCCCCTTACTATATCCTTCCCCTCTGCCATCTACTTCCAACAACAACGTTAACCTAGTCTCCCCTTGTACAGGACCTGCTTCAGATGTCCACTTCAGCCTTTCTGCCCACTTTTTGCTATTCATTGTACTTTTTCTAGTCTTGGCTATATCATTTTTGGGTTAGGGAGACAATGAAAACAGTATTAGAGCTATGCCTTATGGATTTATCATAACGGCAGAATGAGAACCTCGTTTCGTTCTTTATTCCTGACAATTCCTACCATTTTTCCCTCCTTTGCTACAGAGCTGAACTGACTTTTTTCCAGTCTGCAATTGCTAACTTTAGAACCTTTACTCATGTGAGCACGGCTCTCCCCCCAACATGCATTACATTCATCGCTGATTAGTACAACGGAATCAGGCATTTTACCAGATTCCACCTGTTCCAATAAACCAGTATCCTGAGACTCCTCTACACCTCTTTGCATTCTGTTTTGTTACTGCACCTTGAAGAACTTTATATTAGAAAATTCTGCCTTTTCCTTCAGAAATAACCAAGATCATGTAAAACATTTGACCTAAAGTAGTGATAGAAGAATAAAAATTCCCCCATCACAAGAGTATAGAGTTCTGTCATCTTACTTCAGCTTCTTTTTCAAGCAGAATCTGGTCTTTATTCACTTCTTCATCTTCTATCTTCCTAAAACAAGATGAATATTGTTCAATAACGTGATACATTCTGGATTTTGAACTTCCAAAGAATGCTTTGTTGACAAAAATCGAGGCTCTTAGAACACATCTTATATGTCAGCGTTTCATAATACAAAAAAATTTCATTGAAACACATTCCCCACATAGCTGCAATTCATATTTTTATTTTTAAATTATTTTTAAGACATCAATTTATCCCTTACTCCTTCATGAAGTTATGCCCAGAACAAGTATAAACCATTCTAGCTATGACTTTAAAACATGACAGATCTTCACATGTACGTATCAATAAAAACTATTTCTGATCAGTATTCAAGTATAGCAGTTTACCTGAGCATAACATTATCTTAACTGATTGCAATTTGAGTACCACACAGATATAGCAAATTCAGAAATACTGCAAACACATACTTAATTCTTCTCTTTCATTGGTGCAATAAATCATTACAACTAAATCAAAATATAAGTTCAAGGTACTGCTGGACAAGATGTTAACAAAAATATGAAGCAACATGTAAAATAACCAGTGCTCTAAGAAATTCTGTACCTGTAAACCTGGCTACCTCCAGGCAGAACCTTCCTTTGATGCAGTTCTAGCCCATCTCTATCTTCATGAACCGTGTTTGCTACCAAAGATCTAAAAGGCTCATAACCAAAACCATAGAAGTAACACAACCACTGTACATATCTGGAATCCTTCCAATTGGAGGAACCCTTTATCCTGTGCTCCACTTCAGACTTTGAAGTTTGATTATTTTTCTAGTATAGTCACTTTTTTTTTCCTGTAAGTCCAAAAGATTTCTTTTGTATAACACGTTGAAGTATAGTACAAACATTGGTTACTCCCATCAAAATTAAGCAGCAAATGCTTTCAATCAGTATTACAGCACTTTTGCTTAATTGGGACGTTCCAATTTTACATTGAGAGACCAAACATAAGAATATTTTTTATGTACTATATTTTCAAGATTACTTACCACTTTGCTAATAGATTTCTCCTATTCCATGTTGCAATGGGGAAGATCTGCTAACAGATCTAATCATGCAAGTGCCATCAAATGTGCAAAGTGAACCAACTGATGCTTGTTAAAAGGTCAACAGAGAAACAGATTGTCAAAAAATCCTCTGTGCCCAAAAACCTCTAAGAACATTAGCGAATACAGTAAACAAACACTTAATTGCCAAGCTCTGCTGGTGGGGGTAGGTGCAAGTTTGAAATAAATTCACCACAAACTACCCTCACTTCCAGTAAACTTAACTACATTCTAGCAGCACTTCAGAAATATGAAAACAAAGATATATAGGCCACTTAACTAGACAAGATACAAAAACATGTTTTAGTTTCACGAAGAAAGATACCCCAACTTAACAGTAACTTACTCTCACAGGTCCTTGGCAGAGGCAACTTTAAATCCTCCAAAAACTGGTAAACATTATTTTAACTCTGGATGACCTTAGGTAACATTACTTCTATAACTTTTGTACATGCCTGTTGGATAACAGGCACCAGAACTTGGCAAAAATATTTTTTTTTAGCTTGAACTTCAGAAGACAGGATTTAAAACTTAGGGGAGAAGAGCATGTCATCTTGCCTGAAGGGAAAACTGGACTTCTAGGCCAATGCTACAGGCAGAGACAAACTCCTTTTCCTGAAAATTGACTAGGCATGTGACAAAATCTATGTCAACAGCATAATGGAAAAAGCTTTGCAAAATATATCAAAACCACTGAAATGTGCAATCATGAAACCCTCTAGTGGCTGACATAAGAGAAGCAACTGAAAAATCTAAACCAGGAGACACTCAGTTTTCAACAAGAACTCACAAACTCAACTTTACAAACCCTGCTATTTTAGTTAAAAACAGGGTGTTGTGCCTGTCTCTCTTACCAGGAAAGCTGTGCCCTACCCACCACAGCTCAAAATAGGGTTGAAAGATATTATCCTGTGACTGCTATGCAAAGAAAATTATTTATTCTATACCATGTTTAATAAAGCACTGCAGAAGGACTTGAGTTTCTTTTTCTAAAGACACAGTCCAAATATTCCAGTAGTTAATTCTGAAAAAAAACCTTTAACATATCAGCACTGACGTAACTGGCAGATTTTTGAAGACAACATTTATCATAGACATACTTATTTACTTCAAACATTCCAATCCAACTGTGTTCAAGCCTTAAAAAAAAGCAGAGATCTAACTATACCCTTTTAATGTCACAACTGTCTCTTCAGATTTACATAATATTTTTTCCTACACTCAGTGTAAGCTGGTTGACTGAACTTGGTGTTGACTGGAGCTATGGAGCTGTCTGTGATCTACCAAATCCAAGCAATGAAATGGTAGGAGAGACAGGGAGAGACCAAAAAATAAATTCAGAATAGGAAGAAACAGCATGTAACCATAAGATAACAACCTGCCGCCTTGTTTGAGCCTCTCAGAGCGGAAGTTCTCATAGTGAAGATCCTGGGTCACCTCCTGAAGATCTTGCATGTGGGTGCTGGAGGAAGAAAAAACATACCGGCATCACATCGGCTTGCTTAACCAACTCTCACATTCAACACTGTATTGGGTCAACGTGTTCAGCATGTACACCCATTTAACATGCTAATTTAAAACCTAATTTAAGGTAAATCGGTGCAATAAAGGACACATAGAGAGACCACCTCAGACCCTGAGGCAGCCCTGACATAAGCTGTCCTCCTGGGTGAGGAGTTTGATGAAGCAGTGCTGGGCAGGGGAAGCAGAGTAGCAAAGCCTGAAAAAAAATCAACCAGTGGACTTTTGAAGTCTACTCCTTTGCAGATATATATCTACATATAGATATATTTAAATAAGCACAAGGAGTGAAGCAACCTGTTTTATGTTCTTGGGGATCTGAATAGCAATACAACATTGTGTTCAAGAACAGAATTAGATAAAAGATTATTTTCACAGAATCACTGAGTAATTCAGATTGGAAAAAACTCATGGAGCCTATGTGGTCCAATCCTGCCTAGGCCTAAACCAGCTAGGTCAAGGTTGCTCATGGCCTTTTCCAGACAAATTCTGAATGTCTCCAAGGATTTCACAACCGCTTCAAACCCCCATTATGGTGTTTGAGTATCTTCCTGGTGATTTTTTTTTTATACTACAATTTAATTGGAATTTTCTAACTTACATTAACATGGTCCTCAGCTTCAGGAAGTCATTGTGTTCTGGATTCTCCACTTCAACCACACCCCATGGGTAGAGTCGACCTCTAACTTTTTTACCTTTGGCTTCAATGAGTTGATTGGATCCCACTACACAAAACGGAATGCTGGCCTGAAAGCCAAAAATGCAAAAATTACCAATGATGAACCAGAACAAACAACTCGAAGAACAACTCTTGTTCTGCTCAGCACTGCATATTATGGTAATAAGTTTGTAATGCTTTTAATACGAAACTGAAAAAAAAAAAAAAAAAAAAAAAAAAAAAGCCATTGTTACTCTTGTCTACCAGATAGAGGAGTCTGGGCACAGAGACAGTGATTCACTCAAGGTCTCATTCCAGGTCACAGTATGAATCTTGTTCTAAAGCTGCCTGAGCAGTACGAAAATATACAGTATATTATCCACATATGTAACCTATGAAACCAGTAATACCTTCAGGAGTCTGGTCTGCTCTTTAAAATCTTCGTCCTCATCTGATTCAGCATCAGGCAGGTGATAAATCTTGATGCCATGCTCTTCTATTTCATCCAGAATCTGAGATTTTATAATATAAGAAATTGAGATAATATACATGTAAAGGCAGTAATTTTAAATCTTAAAGTAAAATTACTTAATGAGTTATACACAATCTCTTGAGAAATTTGGGCCTATCTTACCGATCCATATTACTTGGCAAGTATTTGTTTCTAAACACCGTATTTCTTCATGATATTCAACAACTACTTGCCACAGACTTTCAGACAAACAATAGTGTTCAAATAAACACTGTCCTTTGTGGATTACACATAAGAAATTGAGCTTTTTTTAAACCTTTGCAATTGTCTTTTTTTTTTTTTTTTAATTATAAAGCATTGACTCAGAAGTCATAATTGTTTTGAACAGCCTAAAACTCCTTGCTCTTGCCTCTGAATTACTATTTGGGGGGTAGAGGTGGGAGTGTTTAAAAACGTAACGGAGCTACAGACACGACAAATACTTTTTTCTGTCTCCATGACTGCTAAGCATGGCATCTGCAGCTGGAATACATTTGCATAAACCCAAATTTTGCTCTTTAAAAAAAAAAATTTAAAATCTTTATTTCTGCAGAATTCTAGCACAATATGTATATCAAAGTAAAATATACTTCTCTTTTTCTTGCAAGTTAGGTAAGACAAATATAAGGATTTTTAGAATAACTGAAAAAATCATAGATAAAGTTTTAAATATAACAACTAAGACTGGATCAAGTGTGCCTTCTGGCAAGTTAATTCTAACACTTCTTTCTAAATTTCATAGCTGTTATTAACTCATGATGGTTTGTTGCATTTTTCCCCCCTCAGCAAATACAGCATCAAGTCCTGCAAGACTGAATGTGTTAAAGGGTCTTGCCTACAGAAGAAGGAACTGGAATGTATTAGAAGAGGGTGACATAGGGGAAGAAAAACAACCCCAAAAATCAGAAAAATCTCTGAAAATCCTATTTTTCAATCCTCAGAATTCTGACTGGGTAAAAAAGTATATGCACATCACAGATGCAGATCCTGTCTCTGCTTTGGGACTGATGAAACAGGTAAGGAAGCAATTACCATTAGCAAATGCATTTAAATATTTTTCCAAAGTTTCAAAATTCACTCAATGTAATTGTAAATGCAGCCAATCTGCCATTTCGCAGGCAATATTTTAAGGACAATTTCTCAGTTAAATACATAACAAAGGATTCTACAAGATATCAAACTACATATTAAATAATGTCACACTGTGCATGAGATTATATTTTTCTTGGCTAGGACAGAGTAAGTTTGAATGAGAATGCCCCTCTCTTTAGCAACCATGCTGCTATAACCAAAGTACGACATTTTTCTGCAAGCTAGAAAAAGACTTACCCTTTTCTTTAGTCGTTCTCGCTCTTTCAGAGAAAGCGTATCAGCTTTTGCAATCACAGGTACAATATTTACTTTGTTGTGTATGGCCTTCATAAACTCAACATCCAGAGGCTTAAGGCTAAAATTAAAATACAGAAAAAGTTAAATTTATTTTTAATCTAAATTACCAGTTTATTTTCACACCAATGTAGATCTCTCTCCTTACACAGAAAGAACACACCCAATTAACTCCAGCAGTTCTAGTACTTCCTTAAGTAATGGCAATCTGATTCTGAAAATTTAAGTCAACAGGCACAAACCAACTCCCAAAGTAAAATAATTTAAAAAAATAAAATGACAGAGCAACACCTACCCATGACCAAACGGTGAAATGAAATAGAAGCAGCAATGAACCCGGTTATCTATGATATGCCTTCTGTTCAAACCACTCTCATCATGCAGATATCGCTCAAACTGCTCATCAATGTAAGAAATTATGGTCTTAAAACTGTAAAATAAATATGGATTCAAGAAATCATGCTCGTTCCCAAATGGTCAATAATTTTAGTGATGTTTCAAGGGTAATATTAAAACACCAAGACATCCTGCTGATAGACAAAAATTAATTTAATGGTGCTGTAAGAATGTAGAGTAGAAGAGCACGTATCTTAAAATTTTACTTGAATTCCAGAATAACAAACTACTATGCATATTTAATCTTTTTATATTAAGATAAAATGTACATACATATAACACACATCTTAACTTCTACAGCAGATTTCTCTTGGGTTAGTATTTATCTTTTGACTAGTATTAATTACACACGCTCAAGATAATCTAAGCTTCTTGTTCCAAATTGATTTAAAATCATAGAATGGTTTGGGTTGGAAGGGACCTTTAAAGATCATCTAGTCCAACCCCCACTGCCATGGGCAGGGACATCTTTCAGTAGGTCAGGTTGCTCAAAACCCTGTCCAAACTGATCATGAACACCTCCAGTGATGGGGCATCCACAACTCCTCTGGGCAACCTGTTCCAGTGTCTCACCACCATCATTGTAAAAACTTCTTCCTTATGTCCAACTTAAACCTACCCTCTCTCACTTTAAAACCGTTGCCCCTTGTCCTGTTACTACAGGCCCTGGTAATAAGTCTCTTTCCATCTTTCCTATAAGCCCCTTTTATATATTGAAAGGCGTTAGTAAGGTCTCCCTGGAGCCTTCTCTCCTGTAGGCTGAACAACTCCAACTCTCTCAGCCTTTCTTCACAGGTGTTCCAGCCCTTGGATCATTATCCTGGCCCTCCTCTGGACCTGCTCTAACAGGTCCATGTCAGTCTTGTGCTGGGGGTCCCAGAGCAAGTCTCACAAGAGCAGTGTAGAGGAGGAGAATCACCTCCCTCAACCTGCTGGCCACACTTCTTTTGATGCAGCCCAGAATATGGACGGCTTTCGGGGATGCAAGCGCACATTGCCAGCTCATGTCCAATTTTTCATCCACCAGCATCCCCAAATTCTTCTCTGCAGGTCTGCTCTCAACCCATTCATCTCCCAGTCTGTATTGATATTGAGGATTTCCCCAACCAACGTGCAGGACCTTGCACTTGGCCTTGTTGAGCTTCATGAAGTTTGCATGGGCCCATTCCTAAAGCCTATCAAGGTCCCCCTGGATGGCATCCCTTCCTTCTAGTGAATCAACTGCACTACTCTCAGCTTGGTGTCATCTGCAAACTTGCTGAGGGTAGGCTCAATTCCACTATGTCATTGATGAAATTATGAAATAGTATCGGTCCCAGTATGGACCCTTGAGGGACACCACTCTTTACTGGATTCCATTTAGACCTTGAGCCATTGACTGTAACTCTGTGGATGCAGCCATACAGCCAATTCCTTATCCATCTAACATCATCCATCAAACCCATCTCTCTCCAATTTAGAGGCAAGAATGTTATGGGGGACCATATGAAAGGCCTTACAGAAGTCCAGGTAGATGACATCAGTAGCTCTTCCTTCACCTCCATCACAGAAGGCCACCAGATTAGCCAGGTATGATTTGCCCTTCATGAAGCCATACTGGCTGTGTCCAATCACCTCCCTGTCTTCCATATGTTTCAACATATCTCCCAGAAGGATCTGTTCCATGATCTTACCGGACACAGAGGTCAGTAGTTTCCAGGGTCCTCCTTTTTACCCTTTTTAAAAATGGGTGTGACATTTCCCTTTTTCCAGTCACTGGGGACTTTGCTCAACTGCCAGGACTTTCGAAATACAATGGAGAGTGGCTTGGGAACTACATCTGCCATAGATAACCCAACGAGATGGGATGCATCTTGTTGGGTCCCGTGGACTTATGTACGTTCAAGTTCCTCCGGTGGTCTTGAACCTGATCTTCACTTACAATGGGAGGGACTTCATTTCCCCAGTCCCTGCCTTGAGGTTCAGGGGCTTAAGAGACGTGAGAAGAGGGATTACCGTTGAAAACTGATTGCCATTAATCTTGAGATTATTTCTCAGTACTTACAATGTAAATTTCTCAAAAAAACCCAAACAATCAAACCCAAAGATGATGAAAATGCAGTTAAAAATGAAGCACAGAATCGAAGAATGCTCAAATGAATGTGGACAAGATCTAAATGTGGATTTTTACTTCACTAAAGACTAGCTGAATTACTTTCTCAGAGTATAGTTTAATTTCTTGTGTCCCAGTGGTTCCATTGCTTTTTGACTATAAAAAAAAAGCCAAGGTCAATGTTCACTTAAAACTCTTCCAAATTTAAGAAAGTTAACTAAAAAAAATAAGCAAAATATCTGTATCTCAAAATTTATTTCAAGTTGTGTGGAAGTTATTGATGCCTCTTTACATTTATCTAAATGAACATGTAACACTTAAATTAAGCTTCCTCAACATTAGAAAACACGCCTATCTCACCAAAAATCACACCTCGAATTCAGCACTTCATATAACACACAAAAAAAAGGTAAGATAACGACTTAACCGTATAATCACTTTGAATCATTGGAATGGAAGGGTTTAAAAGAGCTAGGCTGGCCACTTGGGCCATCCTACTTTGAACTGCGTATCATTATTAATATAGCCCCACTTCAGTTACTTATTCTCACCCCCAGGACAAATATGAAATGGATGTCAGTCTTCATACATATATCAATATACACTCTGTGTACGTACCAGTCTCGGCAATTGATAGCATCCCCATATCCTGGTGTATCTACAACCGTCAGACGTAGTTTTACACCCCTCTCTTCAATTTCAACTGTTGAGGCTTCAATCTGCACAGTGCGTTCAATCTTTTCTAAAAGACAATAAACTTGATCTTTCAGAATAGAATTTATTAGACTATGTCATTTTGAGATAAGCCCAAAAGATTAATTGGCAGATGCAACCGTATAAATGTTGTTTCAGGGATTACCTTCTAAGCCCTGATAACAGCAAGACTCCGTACTTAAATTCTTCAGATTTTGTTAGAAGATTATTTGAGATTTCCTACTGTTCTTAAATATAATGTAGAAACTAAGGCAAAAGTGACTGAGAAAAACTATAGGTAATCAGCAATTTGGAGAACAATACTAAATTATATGTAATGGATTTTTTTTCCTAAGGTTGAAAGTAGTAAGTACTCGTCAGCTAACACAATAAATTATTAAAGCAAGTCATTCAACAAGTAGCAAAGAAGGGAAAAAACTAGCATCTTCCTCTATTTTCTTAGAATATTCTCTTTTGTTGGATTATTGTATGCCTTGCTAACAGAATGAAAAAGGGACAAGGGACTGAAGAAAAAAAAGGAGGTGAAGTTCACATTCACTAAATATCAACCCAAAGCAAAGGAATCAAGTTGCAAGTACAAGCAGGCATAAACAATGCATATGTTTACAATTGCAATAGATTAAAAATTGAAAAAGTTTATGATTGTTTTAGTTGATTGTTTATCTTACTGTGACACGATGACATTTTTTTAACCAAAAGAAGGAATCAACTTTCTAGGTGCCAATATGAATACACCCGAGGACTAAACCAACAAAGACCCCATATACATCCTGGGTACAGAGGGAACCAATTGTATCAAACAGTTCAAGTATAAGGAAATACACCAGAAATTACTACAGCTAGAAATCACTACTGGCTGTTACTAAAATCCAAAGATAAAAGCATTCAACTCCAAAAATCATCACAAACAGAGAACTAGAACAAAGGTGTGTTTACCAGCAGCTCCTGGGATTATCCTTTCTGGGTAGAGATCTGTCAAGAAGAGGCTGTTTATTAATGTAGATTTCCCCAATCCAGATTCACCTGTGATTCAATATAAAGATAAATTCAACATATTTACATAATTAAGTTCAACTGTATCCAGACAGTATCATCTGACTATACATTTTTTCATGTTAAATGTAAATCTTTTATTTTAAAAATTTACAGCTTATAATTTTGTATTAGAAAAATTTGCACAAGAAGGTTGAATAACGATTTTTACATCTCAGCTTTATAATGCGCTTTCTCTGATGATTTGTAATGAAATCTGCTAGTCAAGTGGAGTTCTGATCAACTTAGACTTAAAATTTCCCATTTCATGTCTCCTGATTTTTTTAAGGGATGTTTTTCTGCTATCACTCCAGAATGTGAAAGACCATACACAGTGAGAAACTAGATCCTGCTTAGGCTGTATCATTCTGCTGAAGCGTGTCCAAAGAAGGGCAACGAGGCTGGTGAAGGGTCTAGAGCACAAGTCTTATGAGGAGCAGCTGAGGGAGCTGGGGTTGTTTAGCCTGGAGAAGAGGAGGCTGAGGGGAGACCTTATCGCTCTCTACAACTACCTGAAAGGAGGTTGTAGCCAGGTGGGGGTCGGTCTCTTCTCCCTAGTAACAAGTGACAGGACAAGAGGAAACGGCCTTAAGCTGCGCCAGGGGAAGTTTAGGTTGGATATTAGGAAAAACTTCTTCACCGAAAGGGTAGTCAGGCATTGGAACAGGCTGCCCAGGGAAGTGGTTGAGTCTCCATCCCTGGAGGTATTTAAAAGGGTAGACGTGGTGCTTGAGGACATGGTTTAGTGGTGGACTTGGCAGTGATAGGTTAACAGTTGGACT